GACTGATCACACACCACCATGCTCGGGGGATGAAATGCATTTTGAAGCTGTGAATTGTTTGAGAATATTTATATTCATCGGTCTGGATGTTGTATAATGCTGGAAGCAGTAAGTTGTGAGAGACTGTTTTCTGTAGGCAGCACATTAGTGGTGGAGAACCTTATTGTACCTAACTGCAATTTATTTATTAAAAAAGGTTCAGTTTTGATAGAGCTAAAACATGTAGTACAATTTCCAGCTGATGCCTTGGATTTAAACTTTGCTCACAACCTTTGTTGCATGTCATCACCTCTCTAATTCTTCCCTGCAACCAAGGCATGCTATCTTATGAAAAATGCCTCAAAAATCATTGTTAGAAATCCGATAAGGCATCTTCAAACCCAAGCGCCCTGCCTCCAAGTGACACTAACCCCTAGCCCACTTAATTCCCTAATCATGTTTATGCAAATTCCATTTGTATGTACTGTATGTACATAATGGATGCTGCTGTCACCTATGGGACAGACCCATCGTATCTATATGCAGTTTTCTATATTACTGGAAGGTTGATGAAGATTATATATGGCATCTGCAGGTGGGAGGAAAGTTTTCTATATACATTTCTGACAAGCTTGGCTTCTATATCTGATTATGTAAAACCTGAACTGTAACCTGAGGTGATGTGTGGATTCATAATTCAGCAATAGAAATCATATTTGAAGTAATAAGACTGGACTTGTGATCAGCCTCCTCACTCACAATTGACTCAGTTTAAAATGTCTAAAACATTTTTTGCAATGGTCATAAATAGTAATTTGTGTAAAAAAAAGGCTGGGTCACACTAAATCTGATGACCAAATTACCAAATAAAATAGTCAAAAATGTTTATAATGGCACAAAACACTTGGAGAGGGCTTTTGAAAGTTTACAATAATAACCCAAAGATGTTAAAGATGTCTTGGCTTTCTAATAGAAAGCCTTTACAACACCTTGTACAGTACTTGTTGATTTTAAACAAGATGACGTTTAAAAGGCTAGACTGGACCACAGAAAGAAGATCCTGAACTGCACAAGGAAACTGTAGGATGCAGCATTCATGCATACCTAAGAGTAAGAGTCAATGAATTGAACCCTGAGATTTATTTCTGTTATTTTAACCTTTCTTTTGTAGAAATCTGTTGTGGGTCACATAACTTCATTGCTCAGATGTTCAATGTAATGACATGAACATTTGCTTGGAGTGATACATATACTGCAAAGAAGTTTTTGATTTGATTTTTGTTTTATTTTGGTATATTTTTGTTTGTACTATAAGTTCAACTTACTTCTAAGGATGTTGGATTTTATCAACCTACCTAAAGTGTGTTTCTGGTAATACTATATTATGCAGGAGTTGATGATAATGTTAAAAATATTGTGCTTTTGCATGCTTGAGATATATACTATACATTAAGTTGCAGTCACTTTGACTGAAACTAACATTTGAGCAGGCATCCTACAATTTGCTAAGCAAACTCTATCCCTTTTGCCTGTAAATGATTTCCTATTATAAACACATGTTAGAGATGAATCACTCTTTGGTTCAGCTCTCAGAGAGGACATTTCAGACAAGTTCCCCCCTTCTGTTTTCCATTTGGCTGTTTAATTGTCTCAGCGCTGTCAACAGACTATCAAGGTAATTAGCCATGACTGCACAACAACACAATCAGACAGACAGGAATGAACTGCAGCTTCTGAACATGATACTTAGAGAGGGAATGGGTGGGAACGACTTAATGCGGACGCACGTATGCACACGCACAGGTATGCACACGCACAGGTATGCACACATCCGGAAGCACATATACACTGACCCGCACAGCCTCTTATGCAGAGTCATTATCGTACCCTGAGTACATAGTTCTATGCCACACATTATATTTCCTCCACCAACCATAACCTTCCACCCACCTCCTCCTTAATCCTTCTACCTCTTGCAACTCTCTCTCCTTCTCTCACACACAGTCACAAAAGCAAAACCTCATTTCCTCTGTGCCTCCAGCTGTAGGAGTAGTGTTAATTGTGAGAAGGTGGGGAGTGCGCAATGGAGTGCTTTTGTGTCTTTGTCAGTCCACAGGAATATGAGCTTCATAAGTGTGCATATGTGTAAGCTGCTGCAGTTGTACATGTGTGCATTTCTACAGTTTGTCTGAATGTGTGCATGCTCATTTCTTTTAAGTGTGTAGGCAGTCTGTCCTATGCCAATCTGGGCAGAGCTCCAGAGTTTCCTGAGCCACCTGGGCATCTGTGAGTCTTAGTGCCTGCCACTGGGTACCATCCCAGCTGAAGTGTGTGCTTCTCTGTGTGTGTGAGTTTGTGTGTGTCAGCTGAGGAGGGGCCACACAGGATGAGCTGGCAAACACAATTTTTTTATCCTCTTTGAGCCATAGGGCCCCATACACATATACACATGCACTCAGAGCATGCATCTGGTTCCCACCTCTGCCTTCTCCACATGCTGAGTGGATTCTTCCCTTTGCAAAACATCACCAGTAGAAAAGACAAGCCGAACTGGGGGGTGGGGTGTCATTTAAACAGCCATCATTGAGTAGCCAATGAAGCCCTCTGTGCTCGCTTGCTTAGATTGTACATACACCATTAGCCGTACAGGCCATGGCGGACTCTGACTCGAAGGTCATCTACCTCCAATGAGCAGTCCTAATATTAGATCAGCACTGTAGCACAATGTGAGTAAAATAAGGAAGGACATTCTCGGTAGATTGTGAGGAAGAAATTATATTAACTCTGGGTGGCCATTGTTTCAGCTCTTTTGAAGCAAAACAAAAAAAATGTATTTTTCTAAGGGAACACTTTGGATTAAAAAAATGTAACAATGAGCGCTGTAAGGCTGGATAAACCCAGCAAAACTTAGTTCAAGTGCCATTACATTTATTCTGTAATATACATAATATAGCCTATATGTTGGCTTAACTGTAATCCATGATACATATGGACAGCACCGCCATCAGTGTGTGTGTATGTGTGTGAGTTGGGTCTGCAGATGGCTGCCTCTGTTCTGGGCTGAAGACAAATTCCTTGTGTGTGTAACATATTTGGCCAATAAAAACTGATTATCATTCGATCATTATCATATGAATAGGAAAAGGTTTCAAGCAATCACTAGTAGAAAGTGTGTGTTTTTGTCGCATGGTGGGCAACTAAATGTTATTGGTTATCTGCCTTTATTTGCCACTACATTAGGAATAGGCAATAAACCTAATAGTTGATAGAGGTAATTGGTACTAAAGTTAATGTCTAAAAGAAGTGATAAGGTATAAAAGTTGAGAAACAAAAGAGCTTATACATTATAGGATGCTAATACATTATAGGGGGCGACTGGTGGGGGCGACTGTGGTACAGTGGGTAGAGCAGTCGTCTCCCGGTCAGAGGTTCGAATCTCAGTGTCTGCAGTCCACATGTTGAAGTGTCCTTGGGCAAGACACTGAACCCCCAAGTTGCCCCCCGATGGTTAGAGATATCAGCGTGAGTTGGTGCCGCAGATGGCTGCCTCGGTTCTGTACTGGAAACAAATTCCTTGTCTGTGTAACATACTTGGCCAAATAAAGGTGATTATCCTTATTATTATTACTAATAAGGATGTCAGTGGGCATAGTCATTAGTAACGGAGACAAAACGAATGAGAATAACAACAACAAAGAAGGCAGAAGAGAAAGAAAAGTGCAATAAAAGAACATCCTTGGTCCTCTCTATTGGTGAAATTGCCCTCGGAATGATATTTTTTTCAAGGTGATTGTGGGAAAGTGTGTCAAAGCTTTGGTGGTGAAAACAATTTTCAGAGCATTTAGGTAGGGGTCAGCAGATTGCTGTGTACAGATGCACTTCAGGGTCGAACCAATGCGCTCAGCTTCAGTTCAATCCCCCAAACACACACACACACACACACACACACTCCTATGTTCCCAATGTTGCTCCAGGGTTGAAGCTCTAAACCCAATCATTTAGGTCTAAGAAGAAGCAACACTCCTGCACTCTGCAAACCTAATCTCTCTACACAGTTCTGTGTCTGTGTGCATGTTTGCATATATGCAGAACCCCTGTACCTTTTCATATTCATGGACTAGCATGTGTGCGTGTACTTGGATAATTTAGAAATATTCTTCTATCTCTAACTAAAGATATTTGAGTTGTTGTGTCAAAGCATCAAAGTAAACTGCTGGACTGTGCTATTAAATATTGCATCTATTTTCCTATGGGTAAACCTTGCACTATTTGTAGTTAACCTGTGATGCAGAAATGGGCCTAATATGCCTTGAAATGTTATCAAAATGTACAAAATCATATAAATTAATCAAATAATAATCATGATCAAAACAATAACAACAATTTGAAAATGTAAAAATACACGTGATGAAATTATATTTTGTCATTACCTTTTGCTATCAAAAAGTTCACAGCTGCTACAAACCAATGAAACAGAATATGTCAAGATTATGAAAACCTATTTTTCAAGATAAGACAAACTAGAGATTATTTAAAATATGACACTATGTGCATATAGTGTACCATAAAACATGTTTAAAAATAAAATGTTTCAATGTTTAATTCTTAAAAAAGTTAACTATAGGCTATTTATATTGATATTTTAGATTTCTCCTTATATTCTCCTACGTTTCTCTTAAAGTACATGCAATTTTTACATTTTTATAATTGGACATTAAAAATGTTTTTATCCTTGAGCTCCATGTTAAATCAGATGTTTTCGCGTTCGCCATAATCGTTTTGTTTGAATGGTTGGGATGCACCAATCAGAGGCTAAAGCTCACACACGTGCGCCAACTTTTGACGTAGTCACGAAACGCAGGTGTGTGTTTGATTAGATGAACCGTGAAAGCGCAGCGGAAATGAAAAACAATAAAACCAAAAGAATGAGTGTAAAGGGAAACGCGTGAGGCTTATTTTTTCGTCCTGTCAGTGTTTTCTCGACCGCTCCACTGACAAAAGATGCGGACAAGTAACTGCGTTGCAGTGACAACCCTCAGAAGGACAACCGGGCTTCTAGGAAACTCAACACACCTGGTCTAAAAGGTAAGTATTGGACGTTTGACATTATTTGCACTGTTGCTGTGTTTCTGGGCCATATTCTGACTTGTTCAGTGATGCTGTGGCTACTTTGGTTTTTAACATTTTTCATGTTTTAACTTGTGCTGCCTCCCCTGCCTCTTTCCTCCTGTGTGCACGTGTGCACGCACGCGCTCTCTCCTCAGCTCCTCTGTTTCACCCTTTGGATATGACAAGGGGTCACCTAGTTAACTATGAGAAACTTTTTTTTCTCCCTGTCCTTGGAGACATATATTTATTATAGTTATATTTCTTAACCTATTTATAATCTCAGATCCTTTAGTGTCTGTGTTTCAGTTTCACTCCATAATGTCTGACAGTACTGTCTCCGTCTTCCTTAGCGTCTACTTTGCTATTCTGTATATTAGTCACTCTTCAAATATAGCCCCAGAAGCTGAGTGATTCTGTTGGCATTGCACTGCTCTAATGGAGCAGTTATAGTATATATGTGTGTGTATATATAGGTTTGGGGATTCAGCAGGGGTCCTGCGAGGCTGATTAGCGGACCCTACCAAATGTCATTAGGGTGTAATGAAAAAGCAGCCCTGGTGCTAATGCTTAATAAAGTGAATGGGTTGTTACATTACGACAGCATCCAGACTATGCCTGTTGGCACACCAGCACTTCATTGGTTTGTATGGATGTGTGTGTGTGTGTGTGTGGAGCAGCTCTACATCAAAAATCCGAGGAAACGATGACAGAAATGGAGTTGGTGCTGACAAGGCCCAGTATGAATGTATGTGGGTGTAAGAGTGAAAAAAAAGAAAGAGTGAGTAGGACGTTTTAATCGTGTGCCAGATCTGTGTGTGTGTGTGTGTGTGCGCAGTTGTACATGTATATTTTCTTAATGAAAATATGTGCATGTTCAGGCCAGTGTTTATATACATACTGTGTTTGTGTATGTGTGGTCATGTCACAGGAGATGTGCTTGAGTGTAATGTGTGTATGTACAGTATGCAAAGTTCTTGTATAGCCAAGTTTGCAAATGTGTGTGTGTGTGTGTGTATGCATACTGGCTCTGTGACTGCAGATACATTTTCTAAGAGTAATATCAGTGGCTTCAGTCAAAGGAGGTGCTTTCATTTAGTGATTGATATAGTAATCACAGTGAGGAGAAGTAAGAACTACTGTGGCCTTGACTTCACTCTTAACTTGTATTAGAGGAATGATGTTCAGCTTTTTTGTATATGCTTGTGTATGTGTGTCTTATGAATAGTGCTGTGGAGTGCAGTGACTGGTTGCTTACTGTGCCAGCTGTTAAATGTAAGAAGTGCATGGGGAAAAAAAAAAAGCCCCGTCACTCTGAAATGTTAAATGGCTGTTTGTTTTCCTTTCCATCGACAGGGACCATAGTGAAGGGCGAACGAGGATGCATGTTAACCCATTTCCCTGCTCTATGCCTTTCTCTCTCTCTCTGTCTCTGTTTATGTCACAATATCATCGCTTTCTTTCCAAGTCCCTCCAGAATGATTGAATATTTACTCTCATTTAATGGTACTGTCCAAAAGACATGGGGCTACAGAGGCGCATATACACAAACACACACATTCAGACGCACAGCCCAGTCTACCCATTTAATTAAGCACTCTATGAATAATTCCGTTTGAGCCTCTGGGCTGAAGATAATTATAACGATCAGGATAATAATGTTTATTTTGCTTTTTATTGTATTAAGACATCAATATCTCTGTGGCGCAGTGTGGACAGTTTGCAGCTACACTTCTAATGCCTGAAGCACACCTCTAATATCTGAGTGGCAGTGTCTATCGTGTGTGTGTGTTGTTGCAGATGGTGGGTGCTTGAATGTGCATGTGTGTGTGTTAGAGGAAAGTTATTAGTTTCAGACTTCCTCACGATGCCAGACATAAATGGATACAGCTGTTTTTAACATTTTATATCACGGATCAAACTATGGATTGACATCAGTAATCCCTGAAGTTGCTGGTTCATTCCCAGCAATGTGATTTTATAATTGTGACTTTGAAAATGTATGACAGTTCTCATTCCCAGTAGAAATATCAGAACCCATAATTCTCAGTTTAGCAGATCAATAATATCTAATGTGATTACAGTTGGGCTCACTGGGCACAGCAGCTGTTCTCCACCCTTTGTGGCTTCTATCAAGTTCTGATTAGTCAATGATTGTCTATTCTTTTCCGGGCATATGGAATCAGCAGTCTATTCGCTGTCACTGTATAGTCATTGATTAACCCTGACGACAGATGTGGGAACAGTGATTGTGCTGTATTGTTGGCTTGCACCCTGGCATATTGCAACACACTGGGTAGTCTTTTCTAAATGGCAGCAATTTGTCATTTTTTCTGAACATTATTCTAAATCTTTTATTTTTTACTCTGCAGCCTGGAGCAGGGGAAAAACAGAGCTGAGTTAGAACTGAGTCATGAGCTAAGTTTGATCCTGTCATGTACTGTATTTGCATTTTGGCTGTGCTGTAGTCTTCTCATAGCTGGTGTTGTTCATTATTTCCTTCATCTTCATACTCGTATTGCTGCTTTTAAGCATAGATTTGCTGTCAACATCAGTTATCTATTTAGCCATCCAACGCTCCCAGCTATACCATATTCCCATCCATCAACAAACACACCCCATATACACAAAAACACACATCACATCTATCCTATTAGGCCTGAGATCCTTAAAGTGTGACACTGATCTTTCTTTCTGTCACCTCCTAAACCTCCAGGGCGTCTGTGCTGACACCAAGCCTCTGTGAGAGGCCTGACCCAGAGACAGAGTCTCCCTCTGGGCTTCAGTGGCAGGGAAAAGTCCATCTGTGAATCTGGGCCTGCTGAAGTTAACCCATCATTCACTGAGACTGATGGATGGCCCAGACAGACAAGGAGGTTCTTGGGGTACATGTAGACACACAGCACACTAAACAACAGAATGACTGTAGAAAGACTGCCTGTGTGTGTGTGTGTGTGTGTGTGTGTGTGTGTGTGGGGGGGGGGGGGGGGAGACGAGAAACA